TTTACTTGAGCCTGAATTCCTTCTATTTCCCCCAATTGGGTTTTTGGGAAATTATTTTATTTGCCTTCACCCTTACTTTTCCCCCCATGAATGTAATGCAATTTTTTGTTAAAACCCAAAGACCTTTGTTGCTTCCAAATCGATTGAATTGATGACTTTTGTTTTTTTTATCTTAAGTTAGCTAATAGAGGTCCCTTATATCGAAGGGGTTACTGTACTTTGTAAAAAATTTTAATCTTTCAGTCAATCTTGGGCCAAGGAAATTTAAAAATTTTCCCCCTCCCCTTTAAAATTTAAATTGACCCTTTCCCCCTATTTTTTAGACACTTTTTGACCCTTTCAAATTTTAAAACCACCCCATGATAATTTCTATTATTAAAGTGAAAACTGTGTACATGTAGCCTAAATTTTTTCATCGCTTTTAGCATCACTGTCTCTGACAAGTATTTTTTTAGAGGAAAAATTATGTTTCCTATTTTCCTGCCATAAGGCAAAATGACATATAACTCTCACCCCCAATTTTTGGGAGGCATATTTTGGGGGAAAGGGGGGAATTTGGAAAGTAGAACCAAAAGTTTGGCCTAGTGAGTTGAAGATGAACAGTGTTTGAAGTGGTAAACCCCAAAACCCCCTTTCACAAAACCTGATCACTTTTAATGATGGGGGTAAATCAATAAAACATTTCCCCCCTTTGACAAAACCCTGAATACTGTGTTGTATGTTTAAATTCCCTGCCACTCCATAAATTTAAACAATATTCCATTGCAAAATTAAAGTTTTATAGAGAAAAATTTTTCCCAAACCCAAAAAGGCCCCTGCTTGCACAACCGTCAACTGTTCCTCTTTTTCCACCCACCCAAAAAAAGCTGGCTACCCCGTTGTCAACCAAAATGGTACTAGAAATATTTAAAATAATTAAAAATGTTTTCAATTTTCTTTAAATTTAAAAATGGGGAAAAATTTTTGTAGGGGGTTTTTTTGGGAAATTTAATTTGTTGGTACGCAGCACGAAACTGGGTACCTTTTCCCCGGAGCCCCCCAAAATCTACAATTTTTCCTTTCAGGATGAATTTTTCTGGGACTTTTTTGGGGGGAAAAAATGCTTTTTGTGCCAGAAAATTTCAGTAGGGTTTCCTTTTCATAGTCTTTTTATAAAGGCCCAAAGGGGGCAAAAGAGAGTGTAAAAATTTTAGGGGAATAAAACTGTTTAGTATACCTGGGGAAAGTGTAACTAAGTTATTTTTGATAGAATTTTGAGTAAAATGGAGGGGCAGGGGAAAACAGATGAAAAAGGAGGCTTTAAAAAGGTAGGGGGTTTTGGGAGACCAAGTGTTTGCATTAAACACAATATGTGAACAGTAAATTCCCTTTTGGGGAAAGAGGTTTTTTTTGGCATTTATGGATTTGCAAAGGGGGGATAGAGGGCAATATGGCAGATTTTTGCAAATGTTTTGGGAAAAGGAGGGAAAGGGTTTTTGAAAGTGGTTTAAAAGTTTTTTTTGAGGATAAATTGGGGGCTCAGGTTAGAGTAAGTAGGCGAGAGGGGGTTTTTTTCCCCGTAAAAGTAGGCCCTTGACAGGGATGTGTAAGTCACCATGGTTGTTAAACTATTTATGATGGAGTAGTAAAAAGAATGAATGCTCAGGGGTTTTGGGGAAAAATTGTTTGGGGTTTTAAACCCCTTTTAGGGGCGAGAGGCCCTCTCCGAAAAACCCTTCCCCAAAGGGCGGCCAAATTAAAAAAAAAAAAATTATTTTTTTCTTATGAAAAAATAAGAATCTTTTCCGATCATAAAGACACCAAAAGTTTTTAAAATTTTTTAGAAAACCCTTTCGGAAAAAATTTCTTTTCGCAAATTTAGCGGTCTCGGCGATGTTTTCGCACGGCGATTTTTTCCCCCTTTGAGCCCCATTTTCGGGCCCAAATTTTAAATGTACTAGTCGACAAAAAAAATGAATATTTCGCTAAACCCCCCATTTTTTTCTATCGAATGGTGCAAAAAACCCCTCCTTTAAAGAAAACCAACTATCCATTTCAGTGGCAGAATTTAAACAATTTTGCCAAATTTTACACAAAATTTTAAAAGATGCCAATTTTTCCAATAGGGTCCAGAATAAACCCAAGGGAAAAACATTCCTGGCACTAAAAAGACATTTCCCTTTTGTTTATTTGTCCCTGTCTCAAGGGCCCCCCTTATATTCTTTTGCTTTCCACTTTGGGAAATTTATTATTTTTAAAAAATTTTAAGATTTACTGTTTTTTGCGACTACTGCATTTTGTGTTTAAAAAATGGGAAAAAATATTTTTGGTGCACTTGTGAAAGAAAATTTAGACCACCAGTTGACTTTTATTTTCCCCGCCGGGGACATTTTTTTACCCTTTTGGGAAATTTGGTAAAATTTGAACAATTTTTGCAAAAATTTAGCTCAATTCAAGGGGAACCTTTTCTTTTTAAAACCCGTCAAAAACATCTCAATTTTTTTTTGTTTTTTAAAAAAATGCTTCCCTTCTATAAAATTAAACCAAAAAACTAGAAAACAACAATAAATACCCAAAAACGAAAATACCTGCAAAGTCGCTGATTTAAAAAAAAAAAAGGCAAAAGTTTTTTTTTCTCATTAAACACGTTTTGGCAGGATTTTTTTTTAGACTGTGCACACGCCCACAAAAGAAAACCCCATTTTTTCATAAAAGAAGGCCAACCCGCTTTCTTCCCCCTAGATTTGAGGCCGTAGAATTTATTAGTATAGTACGGGGCAAAAACCCCTACGCGTTTAAAAAATACAGTACACGAAAACCCTCAAAAGGGGGAAAAGAAATTTTAAAAATCTAAAACAAAGTGGGGGTTGTCACAGTTTCTCCTTTTTTTGCTAAAGACCCCTTTGCTTTTTGGGAATTCTGAAAAAGAATGGCAGAGGTTGGTTCAGAGTTTTGGGAGGGGGAAGGGAAAAAGAAGGAAGTTAAAAGTAAAAAAAAAGGGAAAAAGTAATGTGATGAGGATAACAAAAAATTAGTTAAATGGATTGGAAAATCAATTTTGGGGGGAGAGAGATGGAGGAGTGAATTTTTTTAGATATTTATAAGTGGGCATGTCAGCAGAATTGGGGGGCCATGAAGGATGAGGGAGGGCTTAGAATTGACAGGGAAAAAAGGTGAAAGGTGCAAATGGAAAAATCTGGAGGCAAAGAACTTTATCCCTGAAACAAAGAGGGGGGAAAAAATGAGAGTGTATTATACCAGTGCTCTTGTTTGGGGGTGAAAGGGATGGGTTTTGAAAGTTTCCCAAAAAGGAGAAGTCTGGAGGGGGTGGGGATTTTCATTTCTGAGGGGAATGTTGGGGGTGAATATAATGCAGAGAAACCATAGTATAAGAATTTTGGGGGTGTGGGGGTTACCAAACCTATTACCCCGAGGGTTTAGGTCGGTATTGAGAAGGTTTGGACTTTTAGAAGGGTGAAAAAGAAATAGAATGACCCCTTTGAGATATACAAAAAAAGTAGGGAGGGAAGGGAGGGTAGGGAAAACGGGGTTAGGAAATTGGAGGAGGGGGGTTCCAGCAAGCTTGTGGGGAGTGTGTTAACCCGGAGCGAAAGGGGGACCCAAAAGGTTTTTTGGAAATTATGTGCTGTTGGAGCACAAGCAAGGTAAAAATTTATGAGGGGATCCCGGGAAAAAGGGCAGGCTGGGACTTGAGTCCTGGGAATGGGAAAAACAGTTCTTGCCCCTATGAAGGAGGGGTGTTAAAGGCAGGTTTATTAAATGTAGTGTAGGCCCCCTTCTGGCAAAAACAGTGATTTGGGGTTTAATGATGGGGAAAAATTTTTTTTTTTCGGGCCACCCTGCAATTGGGGGGAAACAGTACGGTCCCGATATATAAACTTAAAAATAAGGGGGAAAGAAAACCCTGTTGGGAGAGCTTTTACTAAACCCCTTTTTTTTGGGGCTTTTTATTCCCTAATTTTTAAAATTTTGGGGGGAACCAAATGTTTTTAAGTAAAAGTAAAATTTATTGGGGTTTTGGGGGGCCCCCTTTTCAGAAAAATTTGGGCAAGTTTATTAGAGCATGAAAATTGTTTTAAAAAAAATAGGTCCTGAAGTGGCAACCACAATCTCCATAGTTAAAAAATTTTTATTATAGACTGTTGTTTCTGTACAAAAGTAAAGGGCTAAGAAACAAACCCCAAAAAACAAAGAAAATTTGGTATTTAAAAGTTAAATGACCAAATTCCCGTACTGTATTTTGAAATTTTTAAAAAATAATGGGAGTTATTTTCTTTCCCCCTTTGTTTTAACAGTGATTTTCGAAGACTTTTTCCTTTTATAGTAGTGTAAAACATATGAAAAATTTCTTTTTGGTAAATCATTTTAATTGCAACTTTTTTTTAAAAGGTTTTTGGGAAAAGGGTTTCATCATGGAAACGGGCCAGAGGGTTACTCAGAAAAGATTGAATCCCGGGAAAAAGATGCTTTTGGGTTTTATAAAGGGGGAATTTAGTTCCCCAGAGCTACCCTTTTAATGGATAATTGTTAAAAGGGGGTCAAGAGAGCCCTTTGCAGTTTCAAAGTCAGAGTACTAGTGAAAAGGGAAACAAAACATGCAAAATGACTCTTTTCACTCTCAAACCCAATGTGTCACAAAAGTTTTTAAAGTGTCCCGAAGCAAAGGAAATAAATCCATCAAGCCGTTTGACTCCCCTGGCAAAAAATCATGAAATTTAGATGATGGTGGTTTTAAACCGTTAAAAAAAATTTGTTCAAGTGACTGAAGGAAGGGGGAAAGAAATTATTTTCCCAAAAATTTTTAGTAAATGGGTGATCAAAAATAGTATTCTAGGAGTCCGGGAGTATTTTTTTATGAAATTTCATTTTCATTCACAGCTCACACCTGGGCAAGAAAAAATTTTCAAAGGGTCCTTGGGAAAAAAGTAACTTTCCTCGGACACTGCCTTTACAAAGCCCTGGGGGCAGTAGCCCCTGTGAAACTGTGCGATACTACCTAGATTTATGGTGACAAAAAAAGGGAAACATCTCTTGGAGCAAATGGCAACATTTGTTCAAAAATTATTGCCACTGAAAATAGAAATAAACCTGAGGCTCACAAAGAATTAGTGACTGGTGAAATTTTCCATGGTTTTATAAATCGTCATGAGAAAGAGATAAAACCCAGTCAAACTTTTGAGCAAATGAAAGGTGCTATTAAAATAGGAAAAGAAAAGAGCCAAAATGTGGAAGGTGTTGAAATTAATAGGAAGCAAATGGAAGAATGTGAGAGCCGCTTGAAAAAAGAATTGCAAAGTACAGGTGATGTAATCAAGCCTAAGGAAGGAAACAGTATAGATAGTAAAACTGTGCGTGTTGGTATTAATAGTGATGGGTCTGATACAGACAGTGATTCCGATTCAGAAAGTACTTCCGATACTAGTAGTTCCAGTAGTAGTGGCAGTGATTCTTCATCATCAGATTCCTCTTCCGATGGTTCTGATTCTGATAGTGACTCAGACACTGATTCTAAGAGTACGGAAAAATCCGAAAAGCGGCTTGAAAATACAGAAAAGCAGCTTGAAAATATTAAAAATAATGAAAAGACAGAAAAGCTAGAAAATAAAGTGAATGAAAAGTTAGTGATTGTTGATAGCTTTCAGAATCAGAATGCAGTTTCTTTTAATAAAGTAAAAGACAGTAAATTTAATCCTTGTAAAACAGAAGAGAAGTTCAACAGCAAAGAAATGGACAATAAACCTATTGAAGTTAATTGTAAGGATGTAAAACTAATATCAGATATTAAAAAAGAAACTAGTAATACAAATGATAATAGTGATAAGTGCTTGAGTGTTAAAAAAGAAATAAATATTGATCCAAAAGGCTCTGAAATTTTTTAAACCCAAGCAATTTAAAAGGAAAAAACCCGGAAACTGATGTTTTCCCCCAAATTTAAAAAATGTTTTTTTGAAAAAAAAAAATTTTTAAACCCAGAAAAAAAAATGAAACAAGGGGAAAAAATAAAAACCAAAGCATTTGAAAATAGCAATCCCCAAAAAAAATTTAAAATAAAATTGTGAAGGGGAAAATTAAAAAAAACCCTTGGGGACAGCTAAAGTGAAAAAAAAAGGACTCTAACCAGAAATACTCCCAAACAAAAAAGACGAAAAACAAATTTCCAAAGCCAAATAAAAAGATCAGTGAGGGGGATTTGTACAGAAGTTGAAAGTTCCCTTTGCTCGGGGCAACTTTCAACAATACGGAAAAATAAAGATGAGAGGTTTTTTCAGAAAAATCCCTTCAGCAAGATAAAATTACAAAAAAGACAGCAGGGGGATGATATGATTGCTTGAATAAAAACATTTTTGGGAAGGGAAGCAATAGTAGAAAGGGGGAAAAAAAACAAAATTGGGGTCTAAAATTGTTTGAAAATTTTCCTAAAACCAATTCAAGCTGAAGGGGTTTAATGTTGAAGGAAGTGAAAGTGGCATCGAGAAGGGAGGGGTTTTGGGTTTGGAAAGTCCCGCAGAGAATGATGTCAGCTGGTGTAAGAAGAGTCTTTGAAATTTTTTATCAGTCAAAAAAAGGAAAACTTTGGGATTTTTTAAAAATGGATATTTTAAAGCTTTGAAAGTTAAACAAGATATTTTGTTTTTCCTGTTTTTTTGAATTTTTTAAAATTGAGGGAAATAAGCCACTGCATGTCATTTTGGGATATGTAGGATTAAAAACCCCAAAAAGAAAGCCCGTTACCCTTACACTTCTCCCCCCAAGATGAGTATGTCTTTCATTTGGTCTTTGTTTTTAAGCACAGCCCCCAACAGATTGTTTGGAGCTTTAAAATTTTGGCATAAAAAAGTTTAAAATGAAAAAGGGGCCCGGGGGATGTAGAATGAAAAAAAAAATCCTCCCCCCTTACAGTGCATGTTTTGGGGGGAAAAAGTAAACCCTTGCCCTTGTTTTTGGGACTGACAGTAAAAAATTTGAAGTGTTTACGGGTATTTTTTTTTGGGTTTTTTGGGCATGTTTTTGGGGAATGAATGGAAGACCCGGGTGAAAAAAGAGATGATGAGGGTTTGGGTTTTCAGACGGGCCCTTAAAAATTGGGCCCCTCAGTGGCGGGAAATTTTTGAACCTGGCAGTTTTCCTAAGAAAGGGGGGCCCTTCCATCCCCCCCCCCCCCTCTCTAGTCTGTTTTTTTGGGGGTTTTTACTTGTCCTGGTTTCCATTCTTTGGAATGGCCAAAAAACCATGACCAACCATTCTTTGTTTTTTTTTGTCTAAGAAATAAAATTTTAAAACTAATTTTTTTTTTGTATGATAATTAAAAAATGGGGCACAAGTGTTACAGGGGAAAAGGGCCGGGGGCCCTGGGTTAACCCTTAAACTGCCCCAAACGTAGATCACTTTACGTCCCAAAAGGCTCCGACCTTGATTTTTTTCCCATTTGAAAGAAATTAAAAAATTCGGACGTAGATCTGCTTCGGGAAGCACAAAAACCATAAACCCGTAGATCTACTTTTGGGATTTTTTAAAGGGGTTTAATAAAGGGAGAGGAAAGGTTGACTTAGGGCGGGAATTCCTAAAAGGTGTTTTTTTTGGACTTTTTTTTTAAAAATTGGAATTTTTTTAATTTTTTGGTTGAAAAACGGGAAAAAAATTTATTGACAACGATATTTGGGAAGGGGTAATTTCTTGCACTCATTCAGTAAAGGGGAAAGGGCATACTGGTAAAGTAGGGGAATTTGGGGTTAAATTTGAGCGTGATTTTAAAGGGGGGAAAAAAAACTGCAAGGCATAAAGCCCCCCGACCACAAACTTTGTGTCGCAATTCCATAAGTTTTCCATCAAATTTTGCATTTTTAGTGTTTATTTATTTTTCAAAAAAAGGTTTATCAAAAACCTGAAACTGTAAATTTTTTTTAATTCGGGGGGTAAAACACCAGTGAAAAGGTTAAGGTTTTCAGTATATTTTGGGTATTATTTTTGGGCAGTAAATCAAAAAATTTTAAATTATTATTAGCTCAAATTTTAAATTTTTTTGGTTATAATTTTATTTTAAAATTTGTATTGAGGTTAATTTTTTTAACCCCATAAACGGTCCAAGCAGATCTTTGTTCACATGGGGTTATTTGCTCAAAAGTAGTTTCTAATTTTTTTTTTACTTTTTTTTTTTTCAACAAGTCGGCCGTTCCCCCCCGAGGGGTGCCCCAAAAAAGAAAAAGACCCCCCAAAAAAAAAATATTTTTAAACATCATTCAACATTTTTCACCCACACTCACAAAATTATCCAGTTTTGGGCAGAGGTGCCCCAGAATACAACAGTTTAAAGCATTTTACGTATAAAAAATACACAACATTTCCCCCCCAAAACTGCCAATACCCCAAACCCCCCCCTTTAAAAGGGTTGCAGGCTTTGGGACTTCCCATTTCCAGGACTCAAGTCCGAAATATGAAAAAAAACCGGGTTTTTTCCCTGAATCCCTTCACTAAATTTTTCCCCTGCCAAAATCCAACGATCGTGGGGGCCCAAGAAATCATTGCCCTCCATTCCTCCTAAAAAACCCACGCACATGCACGTTTTTCCTTAAAACCAAACCCCCTCCCCCACAAAACCTCCCTTTACCCCCCTCTTCCCAAACCCTTTCGAGGCGACCCCCTCCCCCTTTTTCCCTTCCCCTATAAAATTTAAATGCTTTCCATTTCATTCTATTTTGATCCTTTTCTCTCTAAAAAAACCAAAACCCCACCTCAAAAAACCCCTCTTCTGCCCCTGCCCTAATGCTTTTTTTAACCCCCACCCCTTTCCCCTTTTTTCCCCCCTCCGAATTTTTGCAAATTTTTAAAACCACACTTTTGCCCTTAGACAGGACATCTCCACTCCCTTTCCAACCGTTCCCGCTGCTCCCCATTTACCCCCCCAAGCTTCAAAACCATATAAAAAGGTTTTGGGTACTACTTACTTTCATACATTCCCTTCTTTGCCTCCATAGTTAACTTTTTTTGACTCCACATATCCCCTAAAACCACCACTCCCCTTTTTTTCCCCTCATCAGTCATGATTAACCTCACCCCTTCAAAAATTTCCTTTCCCCCGACACGTCCCCCCTCCCAAGTATTAAAAAACTTTAACTTCTTTCCAAAAATCCTCCCCCCCCTTTTGATACCCCAATTTTTTTTTATCTAAATCTTTTGTTTACCCTCATCACCTTACCTTTTCTATATTCACTTTCAATTTTCAACCTTTACACACTTTCCCAAAAAACTCATCCACTAACCTTTGAAAAAAATTTTTTCTTTAGAATCCCCCCAAAAACCCACAGTATCATCAGCAAAAAGTAAACTGTGCCAATTCCCTTTTTGGGAATTTTGATTTCCAAAAAATTTAATCCCCCCCCTCCCCCAACACCCTACATTTATTTCCCTTTTAAAACCCCATCTAAAATATATTAAAAAAACCAAGGTGACATTACACCCCCTGTCAAAGCCCTATTTTTAAAAACCCCCGGAAGTATTCTCCCTCCCCTTCTACACACCCAAACCCGAGCCTCACTATCCTCAAAAAAAGTTTTTTCAGTTTTAGTAACCCTTTACCCCCTTTTCCCAAATAAACTTCCCAACATCGCCACATTCCCTTACCCACTCTATCATATGCCTTTTCTAAATCCAAAAAAATGCAAAAAAAACTTCCCTACCTTTATCAAAATTTTTTTCCCCTTATGCCCAATGAAACACTTGATTTTAAAACTTTTCCCCCCCCACTCTGAACCCTCCTTCCCATCTCCCAATTCAACTTTCTGTCTTACCTCTAATTCTTTAAATTTAAACCCAAAAACCGGGTTATACTTTTCCTGGTATACTGGGAAAAACTTATTCCTCTATAATTTTTTCCCAATCTCTTTTGCCCCTTTTCCCCTTTTATAAAAAGGGGCCCTATACATGCTCTCTCCCCAAATCCTAGGTCCCTTTCCCCCCTCATTAAATAAAATTTTTTAAAACCCAAAAGTCCCAAACCACCCCAAAACCTATATCCCCCCCTGTTTTTTAAACTTTTTCTTTCATGATCCCATCATTTCCACTCTTTACTCCCTTTAAATTCTAGAAAATTCCTCACGTACCTCCACCCACTTACTTTTCTGCTTTCCCTTCCCTCCTAAAAGATGGTATACCCCCCTGGCCAGTCCCTTTGAAATTCCCGCCTCCCTTTTTTCCTAAACTTTTAAAAAAGTTCCCCCAAAATTTTTCCTCGCCATCTACCAAATACCCCCCTCCCCATCAAACTAACTCCCCACTCTTTTTTTTTAACTGAAAAATTCCCATACTTTCCCTAGGCTTTTTTAAAATTGTTTAACCCCAAAAATTTTTTCTTATTTTCTTTAAAAATTTTTTGAAAAGTCCCCTCTCCCACTTTTTTCTTTCTCCCTTTTCCTTTTGCACTTTCACCACTCCCCCTTCCCACCTTTCTTTTACTCTCCATATACTGTGCTCTTCTTATAACACTTCGTTTTGAAAAAAACCTCTCTTTAAGCTCCCTTTTTTCTTTTTTATACCCCCCTTTTATTTTCACATTCCCCCAAAATCACCCTTTTTACCTGCCCCCCCCTCCTAAAACCCCACAAACTTCTGCCCCACTTTAAAAATTTTCTCCCTTTTTTTAAAAATTCCAACCCTCTTAAACCCCCCCCACTACTCATCTTTGCATTTAGCCCCCCTTTTCTCCCAAATATTTTCTTATATCTCCCCCGAACTTCCTCCCCTTTTTTTTTCACTTTCACCTCCCTCTTACTTTTGTTCCCCCCTTTCCCTTTTTTTTTTACAAAATTTTAAAATTTAAAACCCAAAAAAAAAAAAAGATCAAATTTGTTTTACACTTTTTCAAAGCAGAAAAACAAAA